TTCCCCATATATCCCTTCATATGTTCCGCCAGATCTGGTCCCAGATGTTTCCACCGATCTTTATGCGCCTCCAATTTTTCGTCTGGATGCTTCCCCATATGTGTATATATATATATATATGTGTGTATATATATATATATACATTATAGTTTTGCTCAGCCCCCCCACACACAATAAAAAAACATTGGATTTCAGATATTCCTGCAAATTCGTTCCAGATCTCTTGGCAGATCTTGCTCGAGATCTTTCTTCAAATCTTGTCCATAACTCACCACCGCGGATCCTTCCATGCACTTCCCCAGACCTTCCCCTGGATCTTTTTCGAGGTATTCTCACAGTTTTTTGCATACAGACCTCCATGTATCAACACCAGATTTTCGGCCCCCTCAGATATGTTCCGCGCTTGTCATATATGTTCCAAGGAAATGTTCCTTTGATCTTCCCCGAAATTAGCGGCTGAATCGCAATTAAAATGCCGAGTCGCTACACAAACGTCGCTCTCACTCACATGCGCTCCAGAAGCACGTCGACAGCGGCACTTGCACGGGAATCGCGAGGAAGTCCCAGGCGAAAACCAAGTGTTCAAACAACCGGGTTTGCCGGCAGGCATGGGCATATCGACAGCGCGTTTGTTTGTTTATTTGTTTTTTTTCCAGATTTGCCTCCGGATCTTTCCCAAGATCTTCTCCCAGATCTTCTTCCAGATCTTCCTCCAGATTTTCCTGTAAAGCTTCCACCAGATATTCCCCCATCTTTGTTCCCTAGATCTTCCCCCAAGTCCTCCCCCGATCTTCTCCCACGTCCCCGCCTAGATTTTCCCCCTGATCATCCGCCAGATTCGCCTCCAAATATTATCCCAAATCGTCCCTCAGATCTTTCTCCCACTTCTTCCGCACATTTCCTTACAAACCTCACTCCAGATATCCCCGTTGATCTTTTCCTGAATTCCCCCCCCCCCAGATTTCCCCCAAAATGTCCTCCACATCTTGCGCTAGATCTCCTGCTAATCTTCCAGATAATACCTCAGATGTTCCCCCAGATCGTGCCCCAGGTCTTCTCTAAGATGGTCCTACACATGTTCCTTTCTCCAGATCTCCCCCCAATCCTGCTTTGAAAATTACTCCAGATATGCCTCCATGTGTTCTCCCAGATCTCGTTCGAGGTATTCCTCCAGAGTTCCCACCCTGTCATGTCTTAGATGTTCGCCATGTGTGCCCCCAGATATTCCTCGAGATGTTCCTCCAAATCTTCATCTGGATAATCACATCCCTGGATATCCGTTTGGATGTTCCACCAGATATTCCTCCAGATGTGTTGAGATGCCCGATCAGATATCCATCATATGTTCCCTTGGATCTGAACCCAGATATTCCCTATATGTTCCTCTGGATCTTGTCGTATCTGTTTTCCAGACGTGCCCCCCAGGTGTTCCCCCATCTCTTCCCCCATGAGTTAGATTTGTTTCGGATATTCCCCATGTATCCTGCCAGATCTACCTTCGCATCGTCCTACAAATCTTCGCTCAGTTTTCCCCCATATCCTCCCCTGAGTATTCCCCCAGATCTTCCTCCAGATCGTCGCCCAGATCTTCCTGTAGATATTTCCCGACATCTTCCTCCATTGATTCCTCCATATGTTTTCCCCCAAGTGTTTCTCGGGATCTCCCTGCATAGGTTCCTCCCGATGTTCCTCCTCGTCGTCCTCCAGGTGTCGCTTGGATGTTCACCTAGGTATTTATCCAGATGGTCCTCCTGATCTCCCTCCCTATCTTTCCCCAGGTCGTCCTCCAGATCTTTCCCCACATCTCCCTCCAGATTATCGTCCACATATTTTTCAACTTATGGAAGTTGCCCGCAAGATCTCCATCGAGGTCTTCATCCAAATCTTTCTCCAGATCCCCCCCATCTATTCGTTCCTCAGATCGTCCTCCGGAATTTCCTGAGGATCCCCCCCGATCTTCCTCAAGGTATTATTGCAGAGATTCCCAAGATCTTCCTCCAAATGTTCCTGCAGACGTTCCTCCAGCTCCCCCTCATAATCTTCTTACACATCTTCCCCGCGGATATTCGTTTGGATCTTCCAGATTTTACTCCAGATGTTCGTTTGGATGTTCTCACGCCTTATTCCAGATCTTCCTCCAGATTTGTCTTAAGTCTGTTTCCAGATATTCCCCCAGATCCTCTTCCAGATTTACCCCAGGAGGACCTTGAGGGAGATCTGGAAGAATATCTGGGGGACGATCCAGAGCAAGATCCAGGAGAAGGTCTGAAGGATGACCTTCGTCTTCCTCCAAATATTCCCCCAGATCTTTCTCCAGATCTTCCATTAGATTTCCCCCAGATCTTCCTCCATATCCTCCCCCAGATCTTCCTCCAGACCGAATCCTGCTTTCGTGAGACCTCCTCACAGGTCTTCCTCCTGACCACCTTCGTATCCGTCGCTGAAGGAAGAATGCTTCCCGTCGACCCCAAGGGAGGAGGAAAGAGGGGCGAGGGAGGACAGATGAAGGAGCACGCAGGAACGCCCCCCCGGCGCCGCCACCGTGCTTGAAAGATTCGCCAGCTCGTTTTGTTTCACGTTCAGCTCTCGACTCGGAGCCGCGCCGCCGTTCTGTTTGGCATGTTGTTCTCGGGCGCGGGGGGGGGGGCGTCATTCTGTTCGACAGATGCTTTGTTCCAGAACGACCCACGAGAATCTGGCCAGCGTTTTCGCTCATACTTCGTTTTGAGCAAAAAACAGAACGTAAACATAACATCATGTTCAGGTGCAGTCCTGGCGTGAGGGGTGTGCCGACAAGGGTAGCGCGGACGAATGCGAACGGTGCCACTGGGGACTTCGGTGGAGCTCCCCATGGGGCCACGAAGCGCGTGAGGGGTGTGCCGAAAATGGTGATGCGGACGCATGCGAACCTTGGCATCAGGGCTTTGGGTGGAGCCCCCGCTTGGGCCACGAAACGCGTGAGGGGTGCGCGGACATGGGTGGCGCGGATGCACGCGAACGGTGCCATTGTGGTTTTCGGTGGAGCTCCTTGTGGGGCCACGAAGCGCGTGAGGGGTGTACCGAAATGGGTGATGCGGACGCATGCGAACGGTGCCACTGAGGCCCCATTGGGGCCTTCGGTGGAGCTCCTTGTGGGGCCACGAAGCGTGTGAGGGGTGTGCCAACATGGGTGGAGCGGGCGCCTGCGAACGCTGCCACTGAGGCCGCGGGTGGAGCTCCCTATGGGGCCACGAACTGTGTGAGGGGGTGTGCCGCAATGAGTGGCGCGGGCGCGTGCGAACGATGCCACTGGGGCCTTCGGTGGAGGTCCTTGGGGGCACGAAACGTGTGAGGGGTGTGTCGAGATGCACGGCTCGGGCGCATGCGAAGAGTGCCACTGGGTGGAGCTCCTTGTGGGGCCACGAAACGTGACGGGTGTGCCGAAATGCGTGGCGGTAGTCGTGATAAAGACGACGATGCTGACGGCGATTATGGTGATGGTGACGGCGATGATGATGTTGATGTTGATGCTGCTGCTGCTGCTGCTGCTGCTGCTGCTGCTGATGATGATGATGATGATGATGATGATGATGATGATGGGAAGAGGAAGGAGGTGTAGGAGGAAGGAGAGGAGACGCGGGGCGCTGTCTGTTCAATACGAGGACCCAACACCACAGGAAGGTTGGGAGCAATTGCTTTTGAATTGGACGCGGCTTTCTGCACGCGCGCACTCGCAATGACCACAGGAGATCAATACGTTTCTGGTCATCCACGTCGTTTAAGAGCATGCTGGTGACACACGCGCGCCCCCGCCCCCGCATATGTCGGAATCGTTTGATCATTCCCCCCGCACTTGTGGGAGAACAGGAAGTACAAATCGCGCCAACTTTTTAAACTGTACCATCCTGGACACGCGCGCCCCCCAACACCCTGCGCGCGCAAGCCGAAACTGTTGCAACGTCATAGGCTGTTCCATCGCACCTTTTTGTAAACGAACCAAATTTAGAGCATGTCGTAAGCCCTCCCTGACATCAGCATCGCTTGCCCGCCCGAATCATGGATCTGCATGGGACGGGTCCGCGCGTCAGTGCGCCGATCGGGATGTGTTAATAATTTCAGGTCGGTAATTGCACTCACGGCATCCCAAGTCTTGCAAACATTTTGTTGGTGGGCGGGTTTGCAGTTTGCTCGAGAATTGAAGTTCGTGGTCTAACGCCCTTCGACCGTAATGTCATGGACGTTGCTAAGAGCTTGCGCCACACATCTGGTACGACGTAGATTGCGCCACATAGATTGCCAGACATACCTTGCACACATATTTTGAGCCCCATGGCTCACACAACGCAGCTTGCACCACTTATCTTGCACGACCCAGCTTGTACCACTCAGTTTGCACCACAGTTTTTACCACGTATGTTGCACCACGTTGCTTGCACCGCATCGTCTCTACCACAGCTTTCATCTCATGGCTTGCACCATATTGCCTTTGATTGCGCGACATAGCTTCTGCCAGATAGCTTGCACCACGTAGGTTGCACACACTGCGCCACATCGCTGTTGCCACGTACCTTGCACTTCCAGAGTGCAAGAATTCATTGTTGGTGTCCACATTGACAATCGAACATATCAGCATGAACAACGAAGAGAAGGCTCACTTCTTATTACAATGCGCACTTGTTCGGTCACATTTTGCCTGTAACTGTTCTTGTCCGTGCCACCCCTCTCAGACATTTTCGCTGGAATTCGGCTTTGATAGTGTATTTGCATCGAAGCAAAGCCCTGTAAGCATCCCTTGGCAAGGCCGAAGTGGGGGGAGGAAGAGGAGGAGGGGGAAGGAGGAGGAGGCGCCCTGCGCCACCCCGAAGGAGGGCCTTTTTCCGTCTGGCGTGTGTCACTGACGTCCCTGACATCGGGAATAGAAAAATGGAGGATGAGGGCGGCTCTGCTCTGGGCGGGGAAATCCATGCAAAGCCGTGGCAGATCTCATTCGTGGTGGTGCACTGGGCTTTCCAGCGCCTCAGGCGTTAGAGTCGTGGGACGGCAGCCAGTTCGCGGAGCGCGTGCGCAGCGGGCCTCGCATGGAGTACTACGCGCAGCTCCGGCAGCAGTTGCTTGCTGCAGCTGGGTAGTGACGGCGGCAGTGCGTACAGCGTTTGGTTCTTGAGGCGGGTTGACCGAGGCTGAAAGTGCCGGAGTTCAGCCGTCCTGCTACTCACGTCGCATTGCTTCCGTCAATCGAAGAGAGAGAGAGAGAGAGAGAGAGGTCAGCATTCTGATGTTTGCTTATCCGTGACGGGCGGGGCCAAGCGGCTCTGACCCCAGACTTTTCTGTTCTCTGCCACTTTCGAGCATCTGAGCCCATATGTCTCTCCGACTGCCTGGCCACCCACTGTTTGTTCTCTAACGGAGTGGGAGGGAACGGTGAAGGGAAAGGGCGTGAACAGAGATGCTAGCAATGCTCCAGCACATTGCCGGCAATACTTCCTATAAGTGCCAGCGTTTTTCTATTGGATGTTGTTGGCACGTGTAGTTTCATTGTTTCGTTTGGTAGTCCGAATCGGGCATTTGGTATTTACCTAACAGCGAAGACTGATAGGTTTCTAGCAGTGTCAAAAGAGAGCATCTTGACTCCCCAGGGGGGTCTGGGCGTGTGCCGGGGAGAAGCCGCTGAAGTAGTTTTAAGCAAACAGTTACACACTTCGTGGTCTTCGAGGTCCCAGAACTCCTTTCCCGCGCCACATTCTGAATGCCCGGAGCCATCTGTGGGCCACTTCGTGGTCTTCGAGTTCCCAGAACTCCATTCCCGGGCATGATTTTGAATGCCCGGAGCCAACTGTAAGCCACTTCGTGGTCTTCGAGTTCCCAGACCTCCATTCTTGGGCATGATTTTGAATGCCCGGAGCCAACTGTAAGCCACTTCGTGGTCTTCGAGTTCCCAGAACTCCATTCCTGGGCATGATTTTGAATGCCCGGAGCCAACTGAGGCCACATTTTGAATGCTGAGCAGGCTGATGCTGAGGCTGAGGGCTGAGGCTGAGGCAGGCTGAGGCTGAGGCCGAGGCTGAAGGCAGACTGAGGCTGAGGCTGAGGCTGAGGCTGAGGCTGCAGGCTGAGGCTGAGGCTGCTGAGGCTGAGGCCGAGGCTGAAGGCAGACTGAGGCTGAGGCTGAAGCAGGCTGAGGCTGAGGCTGAGGCAGGCTGAGGCTGAGGCTGAGGCAGGCTGATGCTGAGGCTGAGGCTGAGGCTGAGGCTGATGCAGGCTGAGGCTGAGGCAGGCTGAGGCTGAGGCCGAGGCTGAAGGCAGACTGAGGCTGAGGCTGAAGCAGGCTGAGGCTGAGGCTGAGGCTGAGGCTGAGGCTGAGGCTGAGGCAGGCTGATGCTGAGGCAGGCTGAGGCTGAGGCTGAGGCTGATGCAGGCTGAGGCTGAGGCAGGCTGAGGCTGAGGCCGAGGCTGAAGGCAGACTGAGGCTGAGGCTGAAGCAGGCTGAGGCTGAGGCTGAGGCAGGCTGAGGCTGAGGCTGAGGCAGGCTGATGCTGAGGCAGGCTGAGGCTGAGGCTGAGGCTGATGCAGGCTGAGGCTGAGGCAGGCTGAGGCTGAGGCCGAGGCTGAAGGCAGACTGAGGCTGAGGCTGCAGGCTGAGGCTGAGGCTGAGGCTGAGGCTGAGGCAGGCTGAGGCTGAGGCTGAGGCAGGCTGAGGCTGAGGCAGGCTGAGGCTGAGGCTGAGGCTGCAGGCTGAGGCTGAGGCAGGCTGAGGCTGAGGCCGAGGCTGAGGCTGAGGCTGAGGCTGAAGCAGGCTGAGGCTGCAGGCTGAGGCTGCAGGCTGAGGCTGAGGCTGAGGCTGAGGCTGAGGCTGAGGCTGAGGCTGAGGCTGAGGCCGAGGCTGAAGGCAGACTGAGGCTGAGGCTGAAGCAGGCTGAGGCTGAGGCTGAGGCTGCAGGCTGAGGCTGAGGCTGAGGCAGGCTGATGCTGAGGCAGGCTGAGGCTGAGGCTGAGGCTGATGCAGGCTGAGGCTGAGGCTGAGGCTGAGGCTGAGGCTGAAGGCTGAGAGGCTGAGGCTGAGGCTGAAGGCAGGCTGAGGCTGAGGCTGAGGCAGGCTGAGGCTGAGGCTGAGGCAGGCTGGCTGAGGCAGGCTGAGGCTGAGGCTGAGGCTGAGGCTGAGGCTGATGCTGAGGCAGGCTGAGGCTGAGGCTGAGGCTGATGCAGGCCACTGCGACTGTCATCGCGAATGCGACTACGACTGCGAGAACAGCAGAATTCTACAACTGGATTATCATCTGAATCTTAAGGGGAATGCTTCCAGATATGCTCCTACACATCGCTGTTAGGTTGCTTTGCCGGGATACTTTTTTTTTGGCTGGCACCCCACTTTGGCAACCCGACCAGGGAGCGTCTCTACAAAATGAATTTTGCGCGACCCAGATTGAGAGCGTTTCCTTCCAGCGTCGCAGACCTACCGTCAGCTAAGACTTACTGCAGCTGCAGTGAGACAAGTTGCATACCGTATTACCGACAAGACAACGTTTGGAACATGCAAAAGCTAAGTTCAGTACAGAGGGAGCACGCTGTAACAATTTATTGCTTCGCTTCGCCGTTCTTTGAGAGATGTCGTACGGTATGGCGCGGCGCGATGCATTGCATTGCACACCATTGTTACTTTGCTGTTGATTCGCGTTGTGCTGATTAGCTTTGCTCTGCTTTACTTTGACTTGCATGGCATGGCACGTAATTGTATTGTTTCGCCGTTGTTGGTGCTTTGTATTTCACGCTGCTTTGCTTTCGGCTGATTTGCTTCGTATTGTTATGCGCTGCGCTGCAATGCTCCGATTTTCTGCTCTGAGAGCACACTGCTTGAGGTTTCTTGTTCATGTGACTTTGCTGCGTTCCTGCTCTGAACGCACACCGCTTGAGGCGGCGAAGAGCTTGAGAGATCCATCTACTGAAGTGGTTTGCACCGTGCTGCTCTGCACTGCACTGCACAGTACGGCTCAACACTGCCCTGTGTGATACTTCACCGCGCTGCTCTGCTCTTCACGCAACGGGGCCCTCGAGCAACAGGGTGGGGGATCCTGCGGTCAGAGCCCTTGCCGAGTTTAACTTTGAAGCACTTTTCAAGTCAGCGGGCGCAAAGGTGCGGAAGCGGTCAGGCGCCGGTCGGGTTCAAGGCGGGGCGCGCCGAAGCAAATTGGGGCACGGTGGAAAAAGGGGGAGGAGCGGAGCGGAGGCGAGGACAGAGCCGCTCAGATCGTGCAGACCTTCACGGGGTGCCGCCGAGTGGGCGTGCGTGCTGCGCGCCATCAGCGGGGTGCCACAGCCGGAGCTTGTAGAAGAAGTCGTTGGAAGGGTACAGGGCGACCGTGTTGGACTTGGGAGGGCCCACGGCGTGCAGGAGGCCTGCAGCGCAGTGACGACCGGCCCGAGGACCGTGCAGGGGGAGCCTCTGGGAAGGAGCACGGCGTGCACGGAGTGGTCCCAAGACGGCTGCAGCGCAGCGGGCCGAGGCCGAAGGCCGTGAAGAGGAAGGCCTTGCAGCGGTGCAGGACCATGGAGCGGTAGCACCTGGACGGGTGCTGGGGCTGTGAGATGTCCCTTGCAAGCTGAGACGACGGAGACTCGGCGTGGGGAGCCCAGTGCGGGGGGCCCAAGCAGACTTGATCAGACAGGCACGCCAGGTGAAGAGCCAGGTAGTGACAGTCGGGAGAACGCACAGGGCGCCGCTGGACGGCGAAGGAAGGGCCGGGCTGGCGGACCAAAGGGCTGGGACACCACTCTTGCCGAACAGCACGAGGAGGACCTTTTGCCGAACTCCAAGACGATGGCAGCGCGGGTGGGCCCGCGGGTGGTCCAAAGGAGGGGTCGGCGCAATGGCGGCGCGGCCGGGGGGAGGGAGAGAGGTGGAGGTGGAGGGGTGTTGTGGGTTTTTCGCCTGATCTGATAGGGCGAAAAAACCACAGCACGGGGAGAAATAAAGACGAACCGAAAGACGGGCGAAAAGCCGACTCACTGTGTGAGGATCTGGGTCGCCGGGTAATCAGGGTAATCGGGGTGGTGCGAAAAGCCCAAACGCAATGGTGAGAGATGAGAGCGTGAAGGACCACACGCCACGGGCTCAGAGCCAGGTAATCTGGGCGGGCATTGGGGCGCGGGGGTCCCATGGCCCACAGTGCTGTAGGACGCTCGTCGCTCGTCATAGCGGCCTGTTTTGTTGTGCTCCCAACGGTCGCGCTGCGCCGAGGTGGTGTCTGAGCTGCTCCAGGTCGCAGTTTTAACATGGCCCTTCCCGGCGGCGCTCTCTTTCTATCTAGCTCTGTGCGAAGCCCTGCGGGCCCACACAGTCGACCCGGTGGCCATGTTGATGAGACTATTTTGTGACGTCGTGTTCTGCCTTGGCCGATTTCAGAAGAAAGTTCGTGCCGTCCTCCGGAGACCGGCGCAATGGGTCAAGGGGCGCATGCACGGCTCGCTGGGTCCAGTCGACGTTTTGGCAGTACGAGTGTGTGCGCATGTCGTTTGCCTTGTCCTGCAGCCTCTCGACGGCCTTCCGCTCCAACTCGCCTGGCAACGGGTCCCAGGAGAGCTCGCTCGGGCTGCCTTGCAGCGTCGGTCCTGACATCCCGGGTCTGGTATCCCTGGCGGTCTCCCACGAGGAATACTGAGAGCCCCAGTCACGCCATCCTCTCCACGAGTCCCGGGGTTGCCACTGGTCCTAGCTGCCCGTCCGAGACTCGTCTGGTGGGGCCTGCCGGGGCTTCGTATCGTCCGGGGTAGCTGGGCTGTGGCTCGAATGGGCTCCAGGCTCGCCGCCCAGCGGCTGGGCGTCGTTGTCGCTTGGTGGGGGTGATGCGGTACCCCATTCCCAGTCAGGTACAGGGACCGCGTGGTGCATCCGTGAGGGTCACCTGCTTGGGCGAGCGTCTTCTGACGAGGCCTCAACGCTGAGGGCAGGACGCTGGTCCTCCGAGGCTTCGTCGCTGGCCTGAGCCCGGCTCTGCTGCCGCGGCGACCGGGGAATGGGGTCTCTGAGAGCGCTGCTGGGGTTGTGTCTGCGGTGACCACGCCCTCGCCATCCTGGGTAGTGACAGGGTTGGACTTGGCCGTCGAGGCGCTTGTGGCTGGTCAGGCCGTGAGGACAGGACGAAGACGAGGACGGCCGTGCCGGGCGGCCCGGCCGGCCGCGGGGCGCCGACTGGGCGCGCCTCGTGAAGCCGTGCGGAAGGAAGGAAGGAAGGAAGGAAGGAGGAGGACGACGAAGACGGCGACGGCGACGACGAAGACGGCGACGGCGGTAGCAGCGACGACGACGGCGGCGGTGTCGGCGCGGGTGCCACCAGCGCTTCTGTACAGAACAGGGTTGGGCCCTTCGGGCAAAGCCGAACTGGAGCAAACAACAAATACCGATGCCGCTACTCCGTAGGTCTTTACCTGGGTGCGTTCTGACGAGGATTTCGTAGCGAATCCACCGTTGCGACGTAGAAAGAGGAGCGGTATTGGCTTTTCTTTCTCTTCTGACGAGTTCGCGGAAGACGAGCTGATCGAGGGCTAAGCTTGAATTGGGACCTTGCGTCTGCTTATCATCGAGTGCGCCTTTTGCTTCCATCCTCCCTTCCCATCGCTCTCCTAGCGCGTCGGGGTTGCAGTAGTGCTTTGTGGACGCCACAGGCTGTCGACTCGTCCATGCACAGCAGCCTCTATGAGAAAATGGGCCACTGATCATCGCCATCGCTTGCACTGTTCTGTTTCAGCATCTGTACTATTGTTGGCTGCTTGTTTCCAGACTCCCTGATGCGAGGTGCCAGGCAGTGGCCGAATGCATCGCTCTGGCACGGCAGTGTCTTTGTTCCGTGCGTCTGGGAGGTCGGAAGTTGCCTGACTGCAGTGATGTCGCCGGGCGGTGTTGCAGTCAACACGTTGTAGTAAGGAATTCACAGACCGTCGACCAAGTTGCAGCCATGGAGCTCCGGCGTGCCAAAGACGGCATTGGAAGGGACAGCGCATCGTCTTGGGATCGCGCGGGAGCCAGGGTGGACCGCACGCCCAACTCCACCCCATGGGACCAAGGACGCGACCGCCCTGCCTCTGAAGACGCCAGAGACGGGAGAGGACGCGCCGCCAAGTCCCCAAGGGGGAACCACATGCACACGGAGGCTCGCAGGGAGCCCTGGAAGGACAGTACGGGTGCCCAGCCATACTACGAGAACCTTAACGACCCCAAGGGCGGCGGCCCCATGTACGGATGCACTGTAGCAGCCGCAAACGTGGAACAGAACGAGACCATCCAGGACAAAATCACACGCCTGCAAAAGACATTGGGAGTCACCTTCAACGCTATCTGGCACGCGTGGGTTAAGCGGGCTGCCCTGAGTCAGGACCTCAAGGGAGGCTATAAGAGCAACCCCAAGCTCAAGGCACCCGCGACGTGCGCGGATTTCCTGGAAGCATGGGCCAACGCTGGCTACGACGCTTATCGGATGGATCGTGAGCTCAGACTCTGCGTAGACTGGGTCGAAGTTCGGCGCAGGCACATGAATTTCCCCGTGCGACACGATGCTCCCGCACACGCACCACGCGAACACGGCAGCCGCGACACGCCAGCCCCCTGGACTGCCGAGAACCGAACGGTTGCGCGTGCAGCGGCACAGGACCCCTGGGCAGGAGCCATTGGAACTGCCACCCCCAACCAATGGCGGGGCTGGCAAGAATGGTCCTCGTGGGAGCGGCGTCACACCCCATGGACGGATTCCGATTGGAAAGGCAGGGGCAAACGATACTCTCCACGAGGGGACGACCGCGACTCCGAAAAGCGGGCCCGCTGGTGGGCCAAGAGCGACTCCAACACCCAAGGTTGACGTGCCCCCGCCACGGCGTACCTCAGCGTACCAACGCCCAGGTACAGGCGTCGGCCCAAAGAGGACCCATGGTCCCCCCACCTCCAGCTACCCGTGGCCCTGAAGGGGCCTGTTACACCTCGCTGCGCCCGGCTCAGGCCGTAATACCCGGGGCCACCCTCCGCTGGGGCGAAGGCCCACCCCCACATTTCACCCACGGCGCAGCTTAGCTAGACAGCCCTCGCTGGATAAGTGGACCACCCGCCACCTTTTCGGGCCCGCCGCTGGGGTGTCCCCCACATGCGCCCGACATCTCACCCTCACTGACCCTGCGGGGCCCGCCTAGCTCACGCCGGCAGAACCCCCAGGCACCCAGACTTGCTGTCCGATGACGACAGCCTGCCGCGCGGACCCTGGGCGGGAGGTGGGCCCCAGCATCCCCCCGTCCTGCCTGGTCGCTGGCTCGACCTAGCTAGGTCTCAGTTTTGTCACACCGCAGGCGCCAGAACATCAGCGGCGGTGAGCTGCGACCCTGGATGAACCAACGCACGCCGTCCCCACGGAGGCGCCGGCCTCCGCGGTGGCAGCCCAGCCTTCAGCGAGTCAGTCCACTGGCTGCAGACTGCCCACCCTGGACCACACCAGCATCGGACGAAAGACCGACCGTTCGGTATTACCTTCCTCTCAGCGGCGGTTAGCTGCGACCCTGGATGCCCCTCGGGAAATGGCGGCCGTGTCCCCTGGCCAGGAGCACCTGGAATCCGTACGAGGGGCGGTGATGTCTGTCCCCACCGCCTCTCTCCCCGGGTCCTTCTCGGGCCGGGCTCAGGCCACGTCTCCTGCCCTTGGACTTCGAGGTGGTCGTTTCCTTGCGCCCCACCCTCGCCGGACGCCCCTTGGGAGCCCCTCCGCGTGGGGGGTCGGTGTTGTCTGTCCCCACCGCCCCACCCTCCGGGTCTCCCCCCGGCTGGGTTGCCGCCAGGTTTGTTTCCCGGTCTCGGAGGCTTTCGGCCCCACGCCCCAGGGCTGCCCAGGACCCCCGCTGACAGCGGTAACGCTACCTCACCTTCAGCGGCGGTTAGCTGCGACCGTGGACGCCCGCGTGGAATGGCGGATTCGACGGTGACCCTGGATCCCTGTGGGGAATGGCGGATTCGGCGAATAAGGCCGTCCCACGGTGGCCTTCGGCGTACATCAAGCGGCTGCTGCCGTGCAGTTCCACCCTGGACGCCCCACCTTGCTGGCGATGTTCTTCCCCGCCAGCTTGGCCTCACGCAGCGCTTCAGCCAGCGCCCGCGCAACCGTGCGTGGATGGCCCCCTGCAGGATCGGTGGCTACTCATGTTGCGCGGGTTGACGGCCCCTGGAGGTCAGCCCGCTTCGAGTGGTTCAGCCTTCGCAGCCTCGGCCGCCCTCCGGGCCCGCCCACCCCCGGCTTGGTATTCGACGTTCCTCGGCGGAGCAGCGCAGCTGGCTCGCACACGCCGTTGGCGCGGCTTGGGCTTGGCGCCCCACTTGCGACGGCCCATCGCTTATCACGTCTGGACAATCCGACGACATGTTGGACGCGCCGCCCACAGCTATCGTCCTCATGCTCCTTCGGGTTCCCCACCACCATGTTTTAGAGGATCGCACGTGCAGGTCACCCACCTGTCCCAGCTTGCGCCTCCACCTGAGTGGTCTGACGCCGCAGCGCGTAACACAGAATTCCCTGGCATTGTGCTTAGGGCTGCACGTTGCTCGAGCTCCCCTGGGCGTCCCAGTTCAGCCAGCCAGCCCCCGCCCTGCCGCCCCAGCTGCCGCCTTGTGAGCTGGCCCGGCCGGCTTGTGCTGCGCCCAGTAGCTAATTAGGCTTGCCCGTCGGCCCAGACACCCTGTTCGCCGCCTGCGCTCTTCGCTCGCGGCCGCGACCAAAAAAAGTAGCCCCACCAGCATGGTGCATCAGCTACCCTGGCCTGCAGTCAGCTCAGCCAGCTCCCCCGCTGCCCGCGGCTTCTCCGGCGGTAGGTTCTGAGTGCGGGCTCGGCCGCTGTGCTTTCAGGCTTGCGCGTTGCTAATTTGACAGGCCCGTGGCCCGGACCTCTCAGCTCGGCGACTGCGAATCCGCGTCCGCCCGCGACCAAAAAAAAATAACCCCACCAGCCCATCCAGAAACGATGCCCAGAGGAATTGCCTCGATCAGGGAAGTGGGCAGCACGCAGAGGAAGGGTCCCCCAGTGGAGGTCTCTTGGAGCGTCTTGGGGCCTCTTGGCGGTCCCGGACGCGCCTCTTGGAACGTCTTGGGTGCCTCGGAGAGCTTCTTGGGGCCTCTTGGGGGTCTATTGGGAGCCTCTTGGAGGCTCTTGGGCGTCTGTTGGGGTCTCCTGGGCGCCTCTTGGGGCCCTCTTGAAGCGCTCTTTGGAATCTTGGGGGCGCTCGTGGAGCCCTCTTAGGCCATCTTGGAGCCATCTTGCGGCCCCGGCAAGGAAGCCAAAAACATTGATTGAAGGATTTTGGCCTCTTCAGGGCTTTCTGGGGGACCTTTTTGGCCACTTGGAGCCGTCTTGGAGCGGTCTTTGGGCCTCTTGGAGCATCGTGGGAGCCATCTTGAGGCATCTTGTGATGTCTTCAGTCATCTTGGAGGTAATATTGGGCTCTCGCAGGCGCTCTTGGAGTCATCTGAAGCAGTGCCCCCCCAAGGAGGCAACATGTGGCCAAAACCTTCGTAAACTTAATGATTTTGGCATTGTCGCCGAGGCCTCTTGGAGCGTCTTGGGTGCCTCTGGGGGGCCTCTTGGGGCCTCTTGGGGGCCTCTTGGGGGCATCCTGGGGGCCTTTTGAGAGCTTCTTGGGGCCTCCTAGCCACCTCTTAGGGCCCTCTTGGGGCACCCTTGGGAGCCTTGGGGGCGCTCGTGGGGCCATCTCGGAGGAAATCGATCAACGAAGGGGGTTCCTCAATTAGAGTCCCCCCCCCAAGAAGCCAAAATGGGGCCAACACCTTGGTAAAACCAATGATTTTAGCTTCCTCGCCGAGGTTTTTTTTGGACGCTCCGGCACCTCGCGCCCCCCCCCGGCCAAGTCCAGGGGAGGGCGTAGGGGGAGGGGCAAACCCCTCCCCGAAGCGGATGAAATTGGGTTGGCACAGGAGCCGCCCTAAACCACCTACGCCCAGAGGGCCCGTGGGATTCTTGACGCTTCGCGTATCCCCACCAGCCTGCTCGGACCTGACTCGCCGCTGGCGCCTTCGCCTGCGGTTGCGACAAAAAGTCTCCCCACCAGCCGTTGGCTTCCATGTCCCGCACGCTCGAGATGTCGTACAACCTGAATTCCGCCATTTTGGTGTTGCAGCTCGCCTGGAATGTCTTCCTTTCCTGGTCGATGGCGCCCTCCTCTGAGCGACATCGAGGCCCGCCTCCTGTTTGTTCCTCCCCCCGCCGTCCTCCCTCTGTCTTCTTCCCCAGCGTCGTGCGTAATTTAGGCCGTCGCTTAGTTCGCTGCGCCCTTGGACGCCGCCCGAGTGTTTTCGGCGCGGTCGCGATTCAAAACATATCCCCACCATCCCACCCAGAAGCGATCAGCAGGGGAGTTGGTAAGTCAGGGGCGGCTGGAAGCATGCAGTTGCGCGGCCGTGTTCAGAAAGCAAAGATCACACATAGCTTCCCGCGCTGAAGTCTAAGATGGAGACCGATGCAAGATACGACGTGGTGCTCCCCGTGGTAAACATCTCTAGCGCAGGTGGCTGTATCCACCCTGGGCCATGGGAAACAAAGATCACACATAGCTTCGGGCAGCGAAGCTGAAAATGAAAACCAGTGCGAGATACGCCTGGGTGTTCCCTGTGGTAAGCGTCTCTGGCGCAGCGGGCCCCGTCGTATAATCGGATA